GGGGGGGGGGGGAGTCTGAAAATCGTATATCAGGAAACTTACTAGTAATTCTAAGTACTTATACTTCATACTTAGAATTAACAGATATTTGTCTTTATGGTTTTCGTTTCAGATTTACCATGGTTAAAATAACAATCAAGAAGGCAGATATTGCTGAGAACAAGGAGGAGGAGGGAGAGGAGGAGGACGAGGAGGTGGAGGATGAGGAGGAGGAGAGTGTAGATGAGGAGAACCAGGATGAGGAAACTGGATCAGGATCAGAAGAGGTCAGATTCTACTCATATCAAAAGTCTTTGCTTGGATTTATGGGTCGAGTTATCGGACATACCTTTTGGACCCCCGGTAATTTCCTAGTATCCGATTTTTGGACCCCCCCCCCTTATTAACTTAAGCCGAAGATGTTCGAAAGAATGAGTTTTTATTTAACGTTGAGATTGAGAAATTGCTACATTTAAATATTTGGTTCCCCCCATTAATAGGTGAGAGAGGGTGGGGTGTCCAAAAAGCGTTTATTGGAAATTACCGAATTTTGTTTATCGCTAAACCTTATTGCATCCAAGTCAGAGGTGACAATTTGGGGAAGATAACAGTCATATTGCTATATATTCGTGTAGGATGAAACCGCCAAGAAGTTTTCATGCACACACTGTGACTACTCTACGGATGCAGAAGAAAACCTCAAGTAATTAAAATACTAAACCTATATGTAACTATCAGCTTTCGAAAAGGTTTTTTTTGCGCTTTTGTAAGAAAGGATAAGTTTTTTTTAAAAGTTTTATACGCAAAGTTATCCAGTAGAAATCCTGTGCTTTGAATGTATAATTAATCAACCCCAAAAAATATAAAAGAAATACGAGCTTGAATTGGGGTTCTCTCTAAAGAAAAGGGGTGGGGGATTTATACAAAAAAAAAATAAAGCACAGAAAATAGTTTATATTGAACCCTATTTTAATAGTTTTCTTTACTCCAGGACCCATGAAGAGCTGGCACATAGAGACGGAAGATACTATTGCAAGGAATGTGATTTTAGGTAAGATTTTTAAACTTTTTAATAGGTTTTATAATGATTGCTGAACTAATATTGAGTATACATTTTTATTGTTGTTGTGGGGGGGGGGGAACTTAAAACTTAGAAATTTTTATTTCTTCTTTATTTCTTCTCAATTCTGAATGGTTTATCAAGTTTTAGGATAAAATTAAGCAAAAAAGATTAAACAATAAATTTGAAAATTATTTTTTGTTAAAAAAATTCAATAAATCTTAAAGAAACGACCTGGATCCATTTTTTCCAGTACGAATCCAGGATCCAGATCCGCATCAAAATTAAATGGATCCTAAGCACTGGAATAATCAAAAATATTTATGTTCAGTTGTAAACGAAGAGAAGTTCTCAGGAAGCACCAGGAAACACATACTAAGTATATCTTCTAGATTTTATAGACGTTTTTTATCGAGTTAAAAAAAAAAACATTTTAAAACATTACAACCTTTTTTACAGCAATTTTTCCCATTCTAGAGCATTCTTGAGCATTCTTGAGTATTCCTGAGAATTCTTGAGCATTCACGAGCATTCTTGAGTATTCTTGAGAATTCTTGAGCATTCTTATGCATTCTTGAGTATTCTTGAGCATTCATGAGCATTCATGAGCATTCTTAACATTACAACGTTTTTTTCTTATTTTAACATAAATGTTAGAATCGATTATTTATAAAAGAAACAATTTTTAAAAACTTTATTAAGACTGGAGAAAAGTTCCCGAAGTTCCAGTAAAACCTCTAAATCTGGTTCTCCAATACCTCCAACCGTCAGGAAGAGATTTATTCATTAGCGTGATAAAGATGGAGAACTTGAAAGTTTCTCGATTTTCATAATTAAAAGATTAAAAGATATAATTTCACTGCAAGTTTGTGTATTTTAAAATCAAAATGTTGAGGTAGTAAGGGGGATATGATTATCAGTTCAGTGCCCGATAATTTGTCATTTAAAAGATTAACAAATATTTTTCAAGTTGTAAATTTTTTTATTATCATGTGCAAAAAAATCAAACTTAAATACTAGAAGAACATAAATTCTTGTTTTTGCATTAAAACCCTTGCTATAAATCTTACCAAACTTCAGGCCTACCAGAAAGCAGTTGTACACATGTGACCTCTGCCACAAAGCTTTTCACAGCAGATTCGTGATTAAAACTCATCTTAAGGTACAACAGTACACCTCACACTGTACGCTGTACTGTACAGTACACCTCACACTGTACACAGACTGTACAGTACTGTATAGTGAACAATGAATAATTTCATGATAAAGAAAAAGAGCGACTAAAAAGCTTGATAAATAGTGTTCGTTGGTCCCTTATCAATAATAATTAGAATTAAAGTAATGGATTTAGGAAATTAATATTTTCAATTTTATAAAATCTTGTCGATATATCAACCCGTTGACAGAAGGGTTTCGGTTATTTTTAAAGTAGAAAGATGGGACATGTTTTAACTTGTAGTAGGATGTTGCAATGAATTTTTTTATGTTGAAAAATCTGGTTTGAGATTTGTGAGTTTCATCATGAGATTTATAATGGGACCATAGTTAGTACTTGCTTACTTTCACATTCGAGTTTGATTAGATAATTTCGTACTTGGTCCGTAAACAAGAAAAAAGAAACGATTAAGACAAAAAAAATCATGAAATGACGGGGCCCAGGGATCATTTATAGAACTATACCAAGGTGGATTAACCAGATGTTCTCAGGCGTGATAAAGATGCGTAATGCGTATCGTAAGGGGAAGAACGGATGGATTGTCTGGGGCCTGGGAACAACCCCAGCAATTTCTTTTTTAGTAAATAAATAATTAGCGTAGAACTACTAAGAAATATTTTTGTTAATTTTTCACGTCTTATTTTTTTAGACTTCATTTTTAAAGAAAAATTTTTTTCCTTGAAATCTATTCTTTTAATAATTTGTTAATATTTCCCTCTAGGCGCATGATAAATTTGAAGAAAGTGATGGAAACTGTGACAAGTATTACCTCTACTACTATTATTCAGCAAACTAAACTAGCTAGCTAGTATTTCACTTGTAGTATTTTTATACTATTGGAAATACCATATTACAATTGATAATATCATGTTACCATCGGTAATACCATGTTACCATCGGTCATACTATAAAACTATCAATGACACCAGTTTACCAATCGTAACTTATATCATGTTTACAATACTGATGCGAAATTATAATTTAATTTTGGACCAAGATCAGCTAAAAGTGTAGTGGAAGAATGATATCCTCATTTCAGGAGGTTTTGTAAATTAGTAAATATTCATTTTAGCCTTTATGCGCAATAAAACTCCATAAAACTTAATCTTGTACAAAGTGCATACTTATGTAATCAATCATATAATAAAAAATTGTATTCAGTAAAAACAAATAAATAAAATGTTTTGTAATGGTTTCTCGATCTGTAATAAAACTATTTTGTATTGTATTGATTATGTTAGATTTGTATTTCAGAAAAGAAAATGGATATATCAGAATATGTCGAGAATAATTCTAATAATCTTCAGGTAGAGAACGAAGAACGACCAGTCCATTTAGCAGTGCTTAGGATCCATTTAATTTTGATGCGGATCCGGATTTTTTTTTCGCTTGTTTTTATCCTAAAACTTGATAAACCATTCAGAAATGAGGAAATTTTTCAAAAGTTCAGAATTGGGGTTTAAGAGTAAAAATTTTTTTTTGTAGTTTTTGGTTGATATTTTACCCCTTGGATCCGGATCCGTGGATCCGCATATTGTTGCGGAACCGGAGCCAAAATCTTGCGGAACCAACAAATCCGGATCCTAAGCACTGCCATTTAGAATGTAATTACAGTCCCCTTATTTGGATTTGCAGTCCACCATTTTGAAATAACCATTGACATTTTGTAAATATAGTCCATTATTTTGTAACTACAGTCCAATATTTTATGACTTCTGTCCACTATCTTGTAATTACAGTCCATCATTTTGCAATTACAGTCCGCGATTTTGTAATTGCATTCCACCATTTTGAAGTTGCAGTCAAACATTTTGTAAATACACCCAACTTTTTTTTTGATTATTTGTGATTACAGTCCATTAAATCAAAATTACAGTCTGCCATTTTGAAAATGCCACATTCTCCTTGCCGTGTCAACAATTTCCCAAACATGGAATTCTTTTTTAATTACAGATTTTTTGACATCGCATATTTGGGTTTTAAAAGAATGTTCACTGCAATTAAATTTTTTTCTATGGTTAAGTATGATAACCCCTACTCTATATTATCCAGTGTGAATTCTATGCACAAGATTAAAATTATTCTTGATTACAGCTTGGTAACAGCTAAACAGGGGTATACATTGTTTTCAAGTGATTTCTCCAAATCCCTTAAAACAATTTCTCTGAATTCTCTAAATTGGGAAAATTGGTAATTTTAAGGGATTAGTTTTTGGGTAAAAAATATCATTAAGGAGCGGGTACACCTGCAGTCAGCCAGTTCACAAAAGTATTTAGTATTTTATTAAATAATAAATACTAACTAGAGAACCTGGCGTTGCCCAGGGTACTCATACTTACGCCCGCCGCTTATTAGTCGTAAATTACAATTTTGGCTATTTTCCTCTGTACATGTGGACCCACTTAATTTAGAATTTCAAAAGCAAGGTAAAATCTTAAAACCAAGTTAAGAACATTCCCGTTGTTCTCTCGAGTTCTCCAATCTGAATTTGAGGAAAATAGGTCAAGGGGTTCATGAGTTATGATCGGACATACAAACAGAGATTTTAACTTGATATAGATAGATTATGTTTTATCTAGTTATTCTCCGAAATCCCTGAGATTTGTACTACGGAGCCGTGTGTGCTAGGAGTAGATGAAGCAGGAAGAGGACCTGTTCTAGGACCTATGGTAATCATTATTAATAACACCGCCAAAAAATGCTATCAAAGGAACTGAACTTTTCTGTTTATTTTTCTTTCTATTTATTTTATTTAAAGTTTTTTGAGTTTAAAATAAAAATTTAATTAGCATTTTCTTCCTTTATCCCTTTCCCTCATATTATTTATTTTTCTTCAAAAATCATCAAACCAAAGTTCAAAGAATAAAACATTTTTGAGGAGGGGAGGATGTTATTAACCCTATTCCGACTGACGTCTGGTTTAACCAAAATAGACTGGGGGGGGGATAATATTGACCCCGCCCCCGCTTTTTTTTTTTTGTAACACAAATCTTTAACATTGTTACGTTTTTGGAAAGCCGTTGTGCTCTACTTCAATAATCGCAAATTTGCAAAAATCAATCTATTTATTACCAAATCTGGTTATTTAGCAAAAAATGTGCAAATACAAAAAATGCACAAAATGCGACAAATTATACATTTTTGAAAAGCCCTTGACCCAGCTAATTCAAATATGCAAAAATTTTCAATTTTGCAAATTCAAAACGTAAATGTTTATTCAAGAATAACTGATGATGTGTAAATTCCCTGTAAAGGCATCTGTGCAAAATTATTTGCAAAAATTGCGCAATCTGCTTGCTTTTGTGAAAGACTTTATTTGTTATAAGCTTTATTATTATAGTAATTAATTATAGTAATTAAATATATTCTAAGCCCTGACAGATATCTAATTTATATTAGAAAGATAGCTCAAGGATAAAGAGGAATCCCAGTACTTACTTACAAGAGTAGGGGGATAATGAAGATATGTGAAGACTACAAGATAGCTCAGGGATAAAGAGGAATCCCAGTACTTACTTACAAGAGGAGGAGGGGGGATAATGAAGAATATGTGAAGATAGCTCAAGGATGAGGAGAGTAAGTACTATGATTCTTAAAAATAAAAAGTGATGCTAATTGGTTGGGTTAACCACATACTGGCTACACTAGACGGGGAGGTACAGTAGACTAGACCGGCATCCTTCTACTAGTTCGGATCATACAACTTATAAACTAATATGAATGGATTACACAACAGGACTGTTTCACCGTTGTCACAAGTTTGAAATTCGAACGAAGTCGTGAGAAATGTGACGTACATGCCTAAAGGTATAATCATGTTTTCAGTTTCAGAACTAACGTTTCTTTTTCAATATGTGCAAGACATTTTCGTAATTGTGATTTTTGTGGTTTTCAGGCATTAACAGAAGCTCAGAGGGATCAGCTGCTAGAGAAGGTTTTGGTGAACAACAGCTATATAGGCTGGGCCATCACTATGCTTTCTCCTAAGTAAGTTCTCATTTTTCTAAAAAAAATTATTGATATTAATATTATTAGTTTTTTTTTTCAAAACCATTAGCTTTTGCAATTCATGTAAACCTGGTATATTATTAGGTTTTTTGTATTTCATCAATATTAATTTCCATCCTTTGGCGGTTATTTTTAGGGCCATACTAGAAAAACGCTACATAGATCGCAAATAAAGAAAAAACGCGACTCTATCAAAATATCTATATATTAGGTTTGATTTTTAGATTGGATGATAAATTGTATTTTTTAAAGGTTATTAATTAAATTTTCGTTTTTGAGTCGAGCGTTTCTCTAGGTACACCTATTTTTGATTAAAGGTTATATTTTCACAATTCTATTTTTTCATTGTTTTGTTCTTAAAAATATAGTTTCCCTTGTTTATCCCTTGACTTATTTAACTTACTAAAATTTCCCAAGAGATACAAATTTATTTGTATGTACAGAGGGTGTTTGTCTAGATGTTTTCCTTACTGTACAGTAAACACTAATGTGAACCTATGTACAGATAGTTTTATTATGTACAATGTAATATCTTATAGCATGTGCATAGGNGGGGAGGGTTTTTGATGTTTCCCAACTGTACACCCATGTACCTTTTGTATGTACAGGTACATATCTACGAGCATGTACAGACGTGGGAAGTATAATCTCAACACAATGTCCCACGATACCGCCATCAGCCTTATACAAGCTGCTATAGACAAGGGGGTTAAGGTAAATAATTAATATAAACTCACGATAATCGTCCTTGTTATTTACGGTTTGGTTACAATGATAGGAACGGACTGCCTCCTCATCACTGTACCAAGTACTGCACGCCCTAGGTACTGTACTGTGCTGTTGTATTTTACTGTACTGCAACTGAACTGTAATGTACTGTACTGTACTGTGTACTGTACTGTGTACTGCACTGTACTGTGTACTGTACTGTACTGTACTGTACTGTTCTGTACTATTAAACTGTACTGTACTACTGTACTGTGATGTACTACTATACTGTACTGTACTACTATACTGTACTGTACTACTATACTGTACTGGTACTGTATTACTATACTGTACTGAACTACTATACTGTACTGTACTACTATACTGTACTGTACTACTATACTGTACTGTATTACTATACTGTACTGAACTACTATACTGTACTGTACTACTATACTGCAACTGTACTACTATACTGTACTGTACTAATATATTGTACTATACTACTATACTGTACTGTACTGTACTACTAAACTGTACTGTACTACTGTACTGTGCTGTACTATTATACTGTAATGTACTACTATACTGTAGTGCACCACTATACTGTACTGTACTACTATACTGTACTGTACTACTATATTGTACTGCACTACTATACTGTACTGTACTACTATACTGTACTGTACTACTATACTGTACTGTACTACTATACTGTACTGTACTACTATACTGTACTGTACTACTATACTGTACTGTACAGTACTGTACTACTACTGTACTGTACTGCATTGTATTGCACTGAACTTTACTGTACTGCACTGTACTGTACTGTACTGTACTTTACTGTACTGTACTGTACTGTACTGTACTGTAATGTACTTTACTCCACTTTACTGCACTGTATTGTACTGTACAATAAGTTACTTTAACTTACTGTACTGTACTTTCCTAGGTGAGTGAGGTGTATGTGGATACTGTTGGACCCCCAGAAAAATACCAGGTAGAAAAGACAGAGGAAGGGGGGTAAGTATTGTTGAACCCCAATAGAAATAAGTAAGTTACAGAGGGGTGGGGGCATGTTAACTTTTGGACCCAAAGAGAAATACTAGACATGAAAGGGATAAGGGGGGTGTTTTATAGTTTTGGACCAACAGTAGAAGAGAAAAGTTGAGGATGTCGGGGGCTTTGGGTGGCATTAATGCAGAAATCATTCTACTGCTACTTTTAAGGTAGAGTTGGATTTTAGCGAGAACTTTTGGGGAAGAGAATCTTGAACACTTTTCTTCCTTTTTTGATTTTCTGGGCTAGTTTTGGAGGAAAAAATAAACTGAATTAAATTTTCTTCCCTTCACTTTCTTATTTCTTCCCTATTTTCACACCTCACTACGTTCTGTGGAAAAAAGTTTCGTTTTGTTCTTAAACAAACTAGAAAAAATATAAATCCTGGCAAAAACTTTTTCGCACTTTATATACCCATTACATTTACAATGACATGAATAAATAATTTTCTACTCTCGAATTTACGTCCCATGCCTAAAAAACAGATAGGTTTGTATTCAGTTTGCTGACAGGGTTGCCCAATGCCCATATGGGATGAGGCTTTAAATGGCCTGAAGCAGAATTTAAAGAATTTAAACCGTGTCGCTGAAACGCCAAAAACCGGTTCTAATTGAGCAACTGAGTAAGAATATAGATAATACATACCTGACTGTTACATTCAATCCAAAAATGTCGCCTTATGATCTATCCTCTTTTTTTCTTTTTAGTTTTTTTACGGGTGGTGTCTCTTTTTCCTGACGCGGGGATGGAACCCCTGGACGCCATGAGCCTCCGCTATGCAGACACAAGTCTCCCAGATTTGCTAGACAGACTGAGCCTTCCCTATGCAGACCATGCCTCCGTTATTCAAACCGTGTCACTGCTATGCAGTGAACGAGCCTCCGCCATACAGAACAGCTTTTTTAAAATCTTGTTTTTTATGTGTAATAAAAAAGTTCACAATTTTTTTTTGACATAGTGGCATGAGAGGTTTCTCAAAGATGAGAAATATTTATCAATTATCATAAAGTGGTATAATATCTCTTTCTTTACCATGAAAAAAAAAATATTTAGAGAAAAAAATTTTAATTGAATTTCATTTCATCTTTTATAATCTTTGATTTAAGCAATACCTTTTTTTGTAGTTCAAATTAAATCTAGAAAATTTGTACAATTTATTTAAATCTTAACATTTTCAACAAAAAAGGTATTTTTAAAATCAAAGATTACAACTAAACAAACTTTTACTCTGGAAATATTTCTCCAAATATCTTCCTTTTTGCGTAAGAAATGTTTAAAATTTTAGTATAAATCTTATAAACCACTTTATGAGTCCATATATGTTTTTAATTATGACAATCAATAAATGAATCTAATCTTTAGTAAAATTCTTATGCTACTACGTCAAAGAAAAATTGTTAACATTTTTCATTAGACATAAAAACCAAGATTTAAAAAAAGCTGTTTTGTATGGTGGAAGCTCAATCACTGCATAGAGGAGGCATGGTCTGCATAGCGAAGGCTTAGTTTGCATAGTGGAGGCTCAGTCTGTCTAGCAAATCTGGGAGGCTCGTGTCTGCATAGCAGTGGCTCATGGCATTCGGGGGTTCTCTCCCTCCCCTAATACTTATGTGTTTTACATGCTAATTAGAGGTGTGTGGGGGGGGGGTAGTAGAGTTAAACCAGTTAGAGAATAACCAGTTCATAAATATTGAACAACGTTGCTTAAAACTAGGATTGCTGACCTGTTATATAATTGTGACTATTTAAAAATGTACTTTCATTGTTTGAACCTTCAGGGGGGGGGGG